TGCGACAGTCAGGAGCGCCTGTTATCAGCTTTGGCTGATACGTCAGCTCTGCCCTTTTCTGGAAGTAAGGGATCTCGAGATTGTTGTGCACACGGTGGTAACCTCACGCCTTGATTTCTGTAATGCGCTCTACATGGGGCTACCCTTGTGCTTGGTTCGGAAATTACAGCTGGTACAAAATATGGCAGCCAGGCTTGTCTCGGGAACATCTAGGAGGGACCACATTACTCCGGTTTTGAGGTCCCTCCACTGGCTGCCTATCAGCTTCCGGGCCCAGTACAAGGTGTTGGTTATTACCTTTAAAGCCCTAAATGGCTTGGGTCCAAGCTATCTTAGGGACCGCCTCCTTCCATACAATCCTCCCTGCTCTCTCCGCTCCTCTGGGAGGAATTTTCTGCAGCCTCAGAAATTGAGGCTTGCGACTACCTCCCAGAGGGCTTTTTCAGTGTCGCCCCCAAACTCTGGAATGGCCTGCCGGATGAGATCTGTCAGTTAACATCGTTAGACAGCTTTAGAAAGGCTGTCAAGACGGATCTCTTCCAGCAGGCCTTTCCAGATTAATTATCCCGGCCTCGGGTACTCCCACCCCCAATGATCTTCGCGTGGTCCCATCAACTGATGGATGAAGAGCATTGCCTTGGGCCAATCTTGTGCTTTGTAATGTTTTAAATTTTAATTTTTTTAATTGTTCTTAATTTGATTTAATACTGTTTTAAGGGGGGAGGGATTGTGTTTTGGGATATATTGTATGGTTTTATTGTTGTAAGCCACCCTGATTGGGTCCCCAAATGGCAGGATATAAATAAATGTTATTATTATTTATTATTATTATTATTATTAGTCTCAGGCTAAAGGTACAGCTGGAATAATGTCTGAAGCTCTAACAGTTAACCCTAGCCCGCAAGTGGAGTCAGTGATAGAAATTCTGGGTGTGAGTTTAGATTGTCTTTGGCTATTGTTATGCACCCTGGCATACCCTGTGACGAGGATTTTGGAATCCTCATATTTTGATATCCCATATTTGGAGATAACATGTTTTTGAAAGATCAATGACCTTTCAGAAAAATTAAAGGTCAGTTTCCCAGGAAAAAAATGAATAATTCTCCCCAGGCATATGCATATCTGAGTAATCAAAACCATC